TTTGCATGCAAGTAAACTGACATTAAAAATCTTGGAAAATTTTTATATTTCTATTCGCCAAATTATAAGAAGTTTTAACAATGGCAATGCATACCTGGAATAATTAAAATGCAAATATTTTAATTGTGTACTTTATTTGAACTATTTTATCTTGCCGAACTAAAGAATTTATTTGCATTGTTAAGTAAATACGAAAACACTAGACAACAAGAAACTAGTTTTGCAAATATATTACAGACTTCAACGACTGACCGATAAATGAACAAATGAACAAGAAACGCGCATAATAAGGCTTATGCAAGCGTATCCTTAGCAACAGCAACATTTACTTAAGCATACATAAATGAAATGAATCTATTTTTATATAAAATACTTAAAGAAAGCAGATACATTTAAGCTGAGCGTACGAGTATTACAAATAAAAACTAAAGAAACTGTATGTGGGATACTTTCTCTAATATAAGCAGTAATAATATCAACAAAAATCATTACGAATATGTGTAAATGGAAATTAAATGAAATAGGAGTACGAAAAGCTTGGTTCTGTAATAACAAATTGAAAGGACTTATGCTGAATTGAGCTTCAAATGAGTAACTGATAAAAATGAGTTATCCTTTTCCGCTGTTCATTAATTGATATTTCAAGCTTCATAATTCGAATGCCTGATGTCATAAAATTTTAATTTATATTTATGCCAAGCATTTTACTCTGTTCTGATTTTCTGTTAAATGTTTTGAAAAAATACTATTTTCATATTCATACGTAAAATTAAAAAAAAAGGTATATTAATTTTACAGACATACCTATTTCAAGCAGTTTCAGCATTCCGTTTTTATTTATTTATAATGAAACACAAAACAGACAAAGTAAAGATAACAAACTGCTGCTAACAAACAATAATTTTGCTTGTCTCGATTTAAAAGCATAATCAACTATACACATTATATAACAGTATGATTAAAATCCATTTATTTTTATTACAAAATAATTGGCAATTATAACCTAAATAATATAAAATTAAAAAAGCGTTAGCCGCTACAAAAAAAAAAAAAAATTAATAATAATAAAAACTACAAAATACCGATATTAAATAAAGGAGAAATATGTATGCAAACACAATGTAGGTAAACAGAGAATCTTAAAACTGAAAATAAATCAGCCGATATAATTTCGAATAGACAAGTGAAGCGGTTTAAGTATTATATTGCTGCTTTCTTTGAATGGGTTTAGTGAAATAAATAAATGGGAATTGCAAGTTATTTAGGCAGTATTACCAGCGTTAATAAATAACCATGTTTTTACACGCAAATGGATGGATCAATGTTGGATTATATTTAAACATATAGTAATGGTTAAATTTTTCTTGATGGCAGATCAAGTAATAAGAAAATTGTAGGAGTACAGTTTGAAGAATTTATGGAAGAATGATATATTATGACAAACAAAAATAAACATATTTAAATTATAACGAACAAATCGACTTTCATTTTAATGTGGCTTATTTTAAAAGTACTGGATACCCTTGTGTTTGCCGCAGCATTTTTTGTGTATGGCCTTTGATATTTTCTTCTGCCGTCTCGTTTTTTCGACCAAAATCGCTTGCTGTTCAATTTTCATTTCATTGTGTTTGTTTATGTCATATACCACCCGCTTTTACCTCTTTTAGCCAAACATGTACTTTTGACGAACCGAAGACCAAGGTAGGCGTTCTTGCAATCTACCTTTTAATCGCTATATGAGGTGCTAGATTACATTTTCAATTATGTTTTGCTTGTTCGTTCGCACGTATATTTTGAAAAATATTTATTATTTCTCTTTTCTTATATGTATAAATAGTATATATGTAAAACATGATTTTAATCTCTACGCTATATATATATATGTATATCGAGTTTTAATTTTTCTCTTTAATCGTAGTTGGTACCGCTAAATTTTGTATCGGTATAACCATATTAAATGGATACTGTAGTAGTTCAGCGCAAGATGGACGCTTTTTTGGATTATGTTGTAAGCAATTTTTCGCCATCTGAAATAGATAAAAGCAATAAATAAAATTTTTTATATATAATTTTAACTTTTTGGGGAATAAATTCAGTAAGATAATAACAACTTTATTATTGCCTGGTAATTTATATGTATATTACATACTAATATTTTCGAAATTGTTGTAAATAATAACCGTCTTCAACGAGCAAATTTTCTTTTGCGAAAAACATGTTACATGTAATATAACAAAAAAAAGAGCAAAAAATTATTACTAATTTAACTAACTATTTGTTAAACTGTAGGCAATTGGTCAAATGAAGTCAAAAATATTTACGTGCACAAGCATTGCTGGATAATATAAAGGAATTGTAGGATATTCGATGTTTGTGGTAGGACTTGTAATGGCATTGATTTTGGCATAGATATTTTTGATATGCGAGAATGGAGTGCGCTTATAAAGTAATAAGTATAGTATGCATCCAAGCGACCAAACATCAGATTTAGTTGATATCTGAAAACAGAAAAATTGTTTAATAAGCCAATTAATGTAAAATATTCAAATATTGCCAGCAACCTTTATTTTTGGTTGATTGCTGCGCATCGGGCTAGACCCGGTTGATGTGTCGGTGAGAGCTTCGGGACTAATATAATTAAATGTTCCGGCTTGAGAAAATTTGATTATACTCGTTGAGTCCAGTGCAATATTGCTGGCAATACCAAAGTCTATTAGTTTCAAACGACCATTTATCATTAAAAAATTTGCTGGCTTCAAGTCAGAATGTATGACGCCTGCACGATGATAAATATATGAAAAATATCTCAATTTATATAATATATTGCATCTCACCATTTTGGTGAATGTAATTAACCGCTTGCAAAATTTGATACCAAAAATTCATAAGTACATATAGTGGCAGATTCGTCGTATATGTCTGTAAAATTTTATGCAGATCCGAGTCTCCCTTTTCCATGACGAGAAAGAGTCTTGACTCATTGCGCAATAGTTGGCTGTTACAAAAAAGTCAAAATTGGTCTATGAATTAGTGGGTTTGTTGCTTTTTTTATACTCACTATTCATAGAGTGCTACCACACAGATGTTTCCTTGAAGTTTTGCCAATAGTTTTGTTTCATTTAAATAGCCTTCAACAACAACTGGATCACCGCGCAAATCGACAACCTAAAAATAATATTAAGATGACTAACTCTGCAGTATTTTTTAATTGGTAAATTACCTTTAATGCACATTCAGTACCATCGGAATTTCTTTTTGCCAAATAAACGGAACTGGAGCCTCCACAACCGATTTTTTTAATGATTGTATAATCCGAATTATTAATGTGCAAATTACCCTCTTTTTCTTTCGATGCTGAACTCTTCGTGTTAGGTGCCTTCTTTCCATCTGGGTCTTCCAGTTTATCTGATTTTGAAAAAGCATTATCCAGTGACTTCTTTGATTTAACCATCACCTGTTGCTTAACTACATCATTTTTCTCAGTATTCTGTTGTATATTTTCTGTAGTTTTGGGAGTAGTTTCAGGACCATTTATGGAATCACAAAGGGATAAAGTAATACTATCATTAGGTAAACACACCACGGGTGCGCGCGTTATAGCCATTGGCGTTTGAAACAGAACCTTTTGAGAGCGAAACTCATTTGCAATTGCCGTACGCTCTTTTTGAGACTGCGTCGAACACAAGCCTCGTGGCCTCCGCTGTACTGAAAATGATCGGATTTGTGGTGTGGCAAATTGCGAATCAGCAATACCGTCATTTGTAGGTGGTACTGCAGGAATCAGTGCTGTGTTGTTACTTTGTCGAAGTGGTGTTTCTAAATCTGAATACTTGTCAGTTTTCTGTGGCGTAGGATCTGAATTAAAACGTTGCAAAACAGCTCCAGCACAGTTTTCATTGCTTTTACAGCCAATATCTCCGGTATGATTATCGTTTGCCACTTTGTCTTCCTGTATACTTTGTAGAGGGCACGAAGTGACTGCTCGGCTTAAATGTGTCTTTCTTGCGGTACTAGCGGCATTTGGTTGTATATTTTCTTCCTCCGCTGTTAACAAATCTTCACTTTTATTCACATTTTCCTTGCCTTCAGCGTTTAATGCCAATTTATTAAAGTCTGTAAGAAATGACAGATTGCCAACAGCTCGTTTTTTCTTAACGCCTGATGGCGGGCCAGGTGTTTTCAGTACAGAATTATCCGCAGGACTCATGATAAAGGAATCATTTAATATAGCACAATTAAGATTATCAGTTTTGGGGTTTTCTTCTTCATCGGACTCATCTGAATCAAGTGTGGGTAATTCTGAGCAACGCTTGGGACTAAATATGATAGATTAAAATATAACATAAAAAAATTCTTATTATTACTCACAACATTCGCATGTTGCTAAAGGCTCCAAATACTTTTGGGGGTGCTTCTATCACAGCTAAATGATTCTCCGATCCACTTTTTTGAAGTTCTCCCCCATTTTTAAGCCTATAAAAGAAGATTTTTAATAATTTACATTTTCAAATTATGCAAATATTCTCAATACTCCTGATTAACATCTTCTTCGTCAGAGTCCGGTTCTAAAGCAGGTAAATCTTTTACTCTACGTGGATAGTGGAAAGACATTAAACTGTTGTAAAAATATTAAAATCGCAAATAAATAACAATCCAACTAAAATAACACAATTTAAGAATCAAAATCAAAATTAAAGTAATGACAGTTGATAATGCTTACAGAGACGTCTGTCGGAAAAATGATTACAGTTTGACAATCTCTGGAATTATCTTAGCAGAATGTAGATTATTAATGTAGAAGATTAATTGTAAAATTTAGGCCTTTGAATTAATACTCCTATTTACGCAATTAGGGATTGCGATTTTTCAATAAATATTATATTAATACCATTGAATATTAACCACAAGACCGTTCTATGAATAACAATTAGAAGTTGGTGTTTACCAACACTGTTTCGAAGGTATGGAACATATGTTTTTCCTGACGCCGCCAATTGCGAAAGACTTTGGAAAACAAATTCGTAAAACTACAAAACGTAAATAAGAAAAAATTAATACTAGAAAACAAATAATGGTAGAAACCCTTTCTTTGTGAACGTTTAGCCAATCAACGAAAAGCGAAAAGTTGCATAAAAGAAAAACAACTAAAAATACTTGTAATCAATTTAATTATTTTTCGAAGCGATAAGCTGATGCGCACTTAAGCCCATTGAACGGTGTTGCTGAATCACAGCCGTCACTCATTCATATGGTTAGTTTGGGACACAATTTCAACGCAAATAGGGTAAAAATAATTTTAGTGGAAAATAAAGGTGCACTATTACATATTTTGTAATAACTTGAATAGAGTGCTCAATACATGAACATGGGTGATAATCGAGGATCTGTTACGCCAAGCAACGCTGCTGCCGGTGTGGGTGCTGGCATCTTTGGTAGCGACACACAAGAGCTGCTTGATCCAGTATTAACTTCAAATACGGATGGTACCTTTAAATCTCTCAAAACAATACCGGCTTTTAGGTAAGTTTTAATAATATTCATGTGATTCGAGACTAGACAATGTGACATCATAGAAATCATATAATATAAATTTATTTTAATATGCATATACAAAATTTTAATAGAATATTTGTAAATCACTACCATACCTGACCTACCATTCTGAAAAATATTACTAAAAAGTTTACGCTCTGCTTTTACAGTATTCATCTGCTGATTTCAACTGTAATCTCTTTTATTGGCATTGTGCTTGCTTTTGCATGGCCAGAGGACAAACGTTGTGAAGCGTATTTCATTATGCTTTACTTACGTGCGACTTTTTGGGTGATAACATTTGTAAGTATAAATAAATGTTATATATATGTATGTATGTATAAATATATTCAACATGTTGTTCCTTTCAGCTGTTCGATCACTTAATTAAGAAGCATCACGACGATTTACGCCTAAATGGTTATCATGAATTTCATCGTGCCACGGCCATGCAAAAGAGTATACCACTGAATGTGGTATCGCTTTGGAACTCCATGCTATTGGCTGTACAAGCGGGTATTCATCACTATTATGGTGTCAATTTCTGGCAACATTGTGCGGAAGGGTTTCTCTCGCCGGTTTCTTATATTGCCGCTTTTAACACTTTAGAGACACTGGTATTGAGTGCAACTCACGGTTGCTATATATGTAAGTATGCTGAGCTCTAAGTAATATTAAATAAATATTCTAAAATATTTAAAATGAATTTTTACTCCAAATAGCAAAAGTGCGGAAATTTAATAAATCCGCCCCACCACCCGATGCGCTGCGCGGTGGTAATAGTGCTTCCGGTTCACTGGGCCTAATGCAACCTGGTGGTAATACTAGTGAGTTGTTAGAGAAACAGGTAGGTTTCTATAATTACAGGTGTCCTTAATAGAATTTATTTTGCACATAACATTTTATTACAGGCCGATCTCATTGCCTACCTAAAGGATCATAATCAGCAACTAAATCAGAAATTGCACCAAATGCAGTTAAATGCGCGCACCGTGAATTTGGCAGCTTAAAGCTGAAAGGTGTACGGAGTCTCTACAACATACTAAATTAAATTCGAAACGAAAGAGAGAATTGAAAAAAGTAGTATCTTACTTTTTATATCAAGTGAGAATTATAATCGAGGTGAAGTTTCAAATCATCGCGATCTGTATTACTACGTGTTACTATTTATATACTAACTATTATACCCAGTTTATTGGTTACTAGTTTTTATTAGAGAAGGATATCTGAAATTTGATATTTCCCAAATTTTGTTTGTATGCAAAATATGCATATGCGATTTGTTTTATCTTTATTACTACCATAATTAAGTGTATTTCAATCATTGTGTATATTTGGCAAACATGAACTTTTGTTTGTTTTAATCCGTTTAAATAAAGCTATAATAACAAGTTTTTATACACGAAATGCAAAATTATTTATGTTTGCCTTTTCAATTAGTTGTCGATAGGCTGAAAGAAGAGAAGGCGTATTAACCTAAAAAGCAGCTAGCATCTATTCCGTTGGGTGAAGTAGTTCGACGTTGCGAGTTTTCGAGAGAAAAGTTCTGCGAAAGATTTATTGTACTTTGCGCGTTGGCCACGGCGAATATCGCATTCGATGGAACGATGAGCTGTACGGTATATACGACGACACTGACATAGTTCAGCGAATTAAAAGACAGCGGCTACGCTGGCTAGGTCATGTTGTCCGGATGGACGAAAACGCTCCAGCTCTGAAAGTATTCGANCGAATTAAAAGACAGCGGCTACGCTGGCTAGGTCATGTTGTCCGGATGGACGAAAACGCTCCAGCTCTGAAAGTATTCGACGCAGTATCCGCCGGGGGAAGCAGAGGAAGAGGAAGACCTCCACTCCGTTGGAAGGACCAAGTGGAGAAGGACCTGGCTTCACTTGGAATATTTAATTGGCGCCACGTAGCGAAAAGAAGAAACGACTGGCGCGCTGTTGTTAACTCGGCTATAATCGCGTAAGCGATGTCTACGCCAATCAAGAAGAAGAAGAAGTAGTTCTAGTGTCAGCTTGGAATATTTTATATTCTTTCAAACAATTTTCCGGTGAAAACATATGACAAAAATGATGCTGCACATAAATAATTTTAAAGACTACCTTTTCGGTCTTTTGCAAAATACATTTTCGGTTCCATCCAGATTACATATCGTCACCTGAAATGCAAAATAACGTAACAACATTTTCGAAAATTTACAGTGGCATTAATGAAACACGAAATAAAATGGAACATGAGTGAAAAAAAATTTAATATTTGTTAAATCTGGTTTATGTCTGAGTGCAGAACCTGAAAATGTTGAACATATGTCATATTATGTTTGTAATTTGAAGTAAGACAGTCAATTTCGAATTTTTTGATGATACGTTATTTCGAATTTCAGGTGACGATATGCTTATTTGGTGAAAACAATTCGTTGTGTTTCGAGCTATTTAACGAGTGGATTACAGCTCTCTCTATCTATACTCATTAGTTGTTGTTATTGTAGTGGTAGAAAACATTGCTGAATTAATTTGGAGGAATGCTGCCATTTTGACATTCCTTGGTCTCACAAAAATCTGGGTCGGTGTCGGTTTCGTAGGCCGGACTGTCGCGAGAACGGTATCACTAAGTCTAAAAATTTGAGGTCAGTAGATTTCATTCTTCGCCGTTTTCTCCAAGTACCACTCTACGATGGGGGCCTATTGACCGAATGGCCGTAGTTTCTCTAGCTGCATAGTTCTTTATCAAAATTCATTCATATTTCTGTGACTAGAGATCCTTCCGAATAAATTGAAAACTGTTATGTGGTAATTACATTTTGCATTATATTTTACCGTAAAACAAGTTCATTATTAAAATTTATTAACAATAAGAAATATTATTGTACATCAAATGCTAATTAATACAATCTTAAAAAATTAAAGATATTTAATATCCAGAAATGAAAGTTAATGAACTTCATTAAAAATTACTTAAACTGTATATCATAACCTAAAATCTAAAAGAATACACTCCCATATGAATGTATTAAATAAACCATAATATAACAAATGCAACATTTCAGCAGACCCAAAAAATAGGAAACAAAAAGTTTATTTATTTCCGTTTCGTTCCGAAATTTTGCGGTAGTTCAATAACTCTCAGAGTTTTATCCTTAGACGTTACTATTATCTGAAAAATCCAAAAGAAAATAAACTAGATTAATAACCTTGTAATACCATTATAATATACAACAAAAATAATTACCTTATTGCTGATCACAGCTAGAGTTAAAATATTGCCGGAACAGCCCGCATAACGGCCACAATGTCGTTCTTTCGCCTTATCAATTACATAGACAAAACCATCGTATGAACCGACGAGTAGAAACTTATTTTGATAAAGTCGCATCGACACTGCCCCACTGCCGCAATTAAATGGGGATAAATGTTGCCCAGTCTGTGGAAAAATAAACCCAAGTTTTATGATTTTCACCAGTTTAAATCTCTACTTGAGTTTACTTACCGTAAAATCAATTTTTAGTACATCGCGCCGCTGAGTGCCACAGTAGATACAATCATCATCCAATAGTAAACTGTATGCTTTCATTGCATCGGGCAGAGTCAAAGTGCGCAACAGTAGTCCGGAGGATGCGTCACGGATTTGTATTTCCTTAGACTTAGAGGCTACTATGAGAATTCGACGTGGCCCCTCCTTAGTCGCTTTGATAGCGGTTATTGAAGCTTCAGATGATGAAATTGTGGAACTGTTCAAAATGTTTGACTAAAGATAAAAAGATATACACAAACATATACAATAAAAGTGAATGTTTGGGCACATAAACAATTTATGTATTTGCTATAAAATGACGTAATTGTGTATCTATATGGAAAAAAAGGAAATGTATCAGAGAAGTTAATAGAAATAGCCAGCCCTAACGGTTCTAGAAAAGGAGAAATGGTTGGGTGATTACTGTAAATTTACTATCGCGGAGTAAATTCCCGGCCATTTTCATAATTCCAGCCGACACGGATTAGTGTTTTGTTTCGACCATGTGTGGAAGTAGGCTACGAATGTGATGCATATTAACGTTCTTTTAAAAAAGTCCTACTTTCACTTCGTATTCTTATTATAATTATAACGGGGGATCCAAGTAGAGGTACTTTTTTTTAACAGATCACTCGTGAGTGTTGTTGGCCTTTCATCATGGAAATACTTACGCTTGAACAACGTTTACAATTCGTTAAGCTTTTTTACGAAAATTCCAGTTCTGTAAAGAATGTGTTTCGCTCAACTTAAGGTCAACAGAATCGGCATACTGAACGCATTATTCGCAACACCATCACCCATCTTGAGATCCAGCTTATTGGAAAATATTTGACCGATTAAATAATGTCCAATACGCAGTGAATAAAATATAGCAGCCGGAGCTGTGACCGTTGAGAGTCGATTCGGCACCGTTCGCAGCAACATGGACTGACGCACGGAACGACTCGGCGCGTTTTATGTGGAGATCTTAAATTGAAAGCGTACAAAATACAGCTTGTAAAAGCTGAAGCCGCTCGACCTTCTTAAGCGATATTGCTTCGCTGTATGGGTACAAGCAATATTGACACATTTGGGACGAAGAGTAATCTGAAGCCATTTAAGAGCTTCATCCGGAAAAAAAGCGGTTTGGTGAGGGTTGTGAGCCAGTGGAATCATCGGTCCATAATTATTAAAAAATTATGCCGGTGAGAACGTAACCGTTCATGGTAACCGTTATCGTGCCAACCCGCTTTTTGATGCCTGAACTTTTGACTACACAACTAAAGTATCAAAAAAATTACTAAGTACAAAAAGGAAATTACTGAGTACATGCGGGAAGTCATTTAAAAATTTCGATATGCGTCCATACCGATTTTAATTGGTTTCAAATACTTATTAACGGGGTTTCCATCTTCCAATTAACGTTCATGTGCAGTATCCCTCAATTAGTTACATATTTTTCTGATTTCTATCTCCTTGGTTGACTATACATATAGTATGAACATATATAGTTTAGTACACAGCTCTACAAAAGCAAAAAATTTTATTGTTGCTCAAAAATTGTGATGCTCTCAGGTGTCCAGATTACGACCTTCTTCATGAAAATATTGAATGTGCTCCTGTTTTTAAGATAATCGCATATCTAATATTTTGATAAATATCAGCTTTTTAGTATTGAACATTTAGTTTTGTATGACTATGGCTCTGCACACATTTCTCGCCCTTCCTCTCAGGCTCCTTATCAAAAATATGAGGAAGGATTTAAGATTTTACTAAAAATTAAACGTGGAGATATTTAGAATTTCAATTTACAAAATGTCCTCTTTTGCACAATCAAAATTTTGCTTACATTTCAAAGATAATGGACAATATATATGTACGATCTGACAAAGGATGTGAAAAAGAGGGGTATGAACTTCTACAGCGAGGTTTTTTTTTTCTCAACTTTTTTTGAACTTGGTTAGTAAGTAAAGGTGGAAGCATTTTGTTTTGGTGAAATTTGTGGAAAATTTCCGAAGGTTATTACGGAAAAGTTAAAAGTTGAAATACTTAATGATCCTCAAATACTGTTATTAATGAATGATACAGAGTTTATAAAACTTATGATTCTCCTGATAATCTTGGAAAAGCATTTTGTTGAGAGTCGACATTTTACCAGGCAATCATAAGGGACCAAATTACGAATAAATTGTGAAAAACACGCTAAAATTTAGCGTATCTAGGGGAAAATATGAGTATTAAGTTTGTCATCGACAATGTAATCGACTGAGGGGCATTCGTTAACGAGCAAGCAAACGGAGCAGTCGTTAGCAGGCGCTTGAAAATAAATTAAATTTTTATTTTGAATAAACATTGTATTCATTTAATAATAGTTTAAAAATAAATAGTTTGGGCAATCTTGACAAGTTAGACTATCGTCTGTATACATTTTCGAATAAGTAAGAAACCGTGTAGGCGATTCCATTAGGGTCTAAAAGTAATGGAAGAAAGGAATCAAAGTTTATGGGATAGTCATCATGTGATGGCAGATTACTGCTGCACATTGAAAAGATATAGATAAATATAAAATCTCATAAAAGGAGTTTTATTGATATATGTACTATATAACACACATTTTCGACATTTTTCTCTCAGCTTACCTAATGTAGCCTTACATTTTCAAAACAAATTGACATTATAAATATACTTATCTATTCTTCATGTTTTCTGCTTTGGAGATGTAAGATGGAAATAAAGATTAAAAAAGGGGTAATTTTTACGAAACCTTGGAAGTTTCATTAGCTGTGGGCACAAATATATCCAAAATTTATCTCCTATTTGGGGCAACAATAACACTATACATAGACCAGTGATACCTCCCGAATGGTAGTCACATTT